TTCATGGAATAGAAAAATAACTCTGAAGTCTCAGTCAAGAGATATGGGTTCTGGGAGCACCCACCTTGACTACTTAAACCAGTCATTTATCCTCCTAAATTCACCCTCTGGAAGATAAGATTACATCAGACAAGCTTTGAGCTCCCTGCTAATCTAATAATCAATAGGTTCATGATGTACTTCCCCTCCTTCCCTCCAAGAAACAAAAGGGCGTATCACTGGAAATCACCCTTTAATATAATTCACCTGAAGCCAGAAAGAGACCCCCCCCCCCCCCCTTCCTTTATTTCCAGAATCCTAGGTGTAAAGAGCACTTACTTGTAATATGGGTCACTGGAATACACAGTCCTTCTTTTAGGGTTCAGCTTTGAAGATGGAGAACGCAGAGAAACTGAAGCCTAGGCATTCTCTAGCTGATTTGCAAATCCCGGTGCCAGTAAGTCAGAGGGCAGAGCAGAGCACTAGAAATTCACTGAGGACCCCACATCCTTTAGCTGACTGTGGCAACTACTTTGAACGCCCTCTCACTCTGTCTTTGTGTATGTGAGTATATGTACATCTTTGGTACCGGTACACACAATGATCAGTTCATTTTATTTTTCTTGCTTCCTCATTACTGCTAATGAGCAACAAAATAAAATAATAAAAAGATAAAGGGCCAAGAAGGAAGGGCAAAAGTCAAAAGCTGTCTTCCTGCCTAATTGGATCATCAGGTTTAAGAAAGAGTTGCCAATCTTCATGTGTCTCATGTGAAGTCAATCTGAGCTCAACTAAGGGGCTGCAAAGGCAAAACTCCCCAAAGCCAGAGTAGTCCAAGAGAGGTCCCAATCATCTAAAAGAACCAGACCTAACCCAATTGCAAATACATAGGCAAATGGAGATATCCCCAGCTTTTCTAAGTTCTTTTCTTTAGAAAAAGAGCACAAAGATTGACCAGATTGACTGGAATCACTAGTTAACAGACAGCCCAACAAAGAAGTTTCAATGTCAAGAAAGGTTACTTGAACATTTTTGGTAAGTTAGTTGACTACAGTCTCACATTTATTTGGGAAGTATTAGCTGTTAATGTAACAGATATACCAGCACATCTGCTATGACATGGGGGAAAAGGAGGGAGGAAGGAAAGCAGGGTTGGGGGAAGAAACAGTGGTTTCTATGTAGGGTAGTATGGGTGCTATGAGCTGAATTGTGTCCCCCCAAAATTTGTACGTTGGAGCCCTAACTCTTAGTACTTCAGAATGTGACTGTACAGTATTTGCAGATAGGGCCTTCAAAGAGGTGATGAGGTTCAAAGGAGGCCATCAGAGTGGGCTCTATGCAATCAGATGTGTGTCCTTAGAAGAGGAAATTTGGCTAAACAAGAGACACTAGGGATGTGTGTGTAGAGAAAGGACCATGAGAAGAGGCAGCATGAAGGTGGCCATCTGCAAGCCAGAGAGGCCTCAGAAGAAACTAACCTTGCTGGCACTTTGATCTTGGGAATAGTAACAGTACCTTGCCTCATAAGTTTATTGCAATGATTAAATAAATTAAGCCATGTAAAGCACTTAGAACAGTGGCACATAGCAAGCACTCAAGAATCAGCAGCTGATAGTGCTGCTACTGTTACTTTTTATTTTTTTAAAGATGGGGTCTCACTCTGTTGCCTAGGCTGGAGTGCAGTGACATGATCATAAATCACTACAGCCTTGAACTCCTAGGTTCAAGCGATTCTCCCACCTCAGGAGGGAGGGAGGAAGTCTCAAGCAGCCTGGACTACAGGCTTGCACCACCATGTCCAGTTAATTTCTATTTACTGATTTATTTATTTATTTGGAGGCGGAGTCTCGCTCTGTCGCCACGCTGGAGCGCGATCTCGGCTCACTGCAATCTCCACCTCCTGGGTTCAAGCGATTCTCCTGCCTCCACCTCCCAAGTAGTTGGGATTATAGGTGCACGCTGCCACGCCCAGCTAATTTTTGTATTTTTAGTACACACGGGGTTTCACCATGCTACCCTCGATCTCCTGACCTCGTGATCTGCCTGCCTCGGCCTCCCAAAGTGCTGGGATTACAGGCATGAGCCACTAGGCTCAGCCGATTCTTTTTTTTTTTTTTTTTTAAGAGATGAGTTCTCACTGTGTTGCTCAGGTTGGTCTCAAACTCCTGGCCTCAAGTGATCCTCCCACCTCAGCCTCCTGAGTAGCTGGGACCACAGGTGTGAGCCACTGCACCCAGCAACTGCTACTGTTATTGATAAAGGGACTAAGGCTACTTCAGCAGACCTAGGGAGATATGTACTTTTGTGTAACAATACTGACTGAAAACTTCACCACCAGCTTTCTAACTGATTTCGGTACGTAATGGAGCATTTTGGGGCCCTCATTCTCATGCTTCTACAGTGAGAATCAAAATTTCTGTTTACATTCAATGGCTTTGCAAGAAGGTTATTTGGTTTTCATTGGGGGAAAGGTCCGACTAGAAAGAGAGCTGAAGGTGGCCTGTCTAGAGGAACTATATCTATCTACCTCAGCAGGTGCTGTTTGGCCAGAATTGTGGGCTGGAAACACTCCAATTCAGGATCATTAACTCTATTAGCCTAGGGGGAGATTTTCTGATGCACCTTCCTTTTCTGGGATCTGACAGAGCTGCTGAAATTTGAGAAAGCAGCTCTCTATCTGCCTGACCTCTCAGTCTCCTGAGAAAACAGGTACAAGGGGGGGCAGAAAGATAGTAAGATAGCATTGGATCTATTTTTCTGCCCTAGCAGGTTACCTCCACAGGCAGGAAGTAACTTCTTCTGCTCCAACCCTGTTCCACTTCCCTGAGGCAGGAAGGACTTAAGCTGTGGTATGGGAAATTCGCTGTTTTTTGTTAACTGTTAAGTTTTTCAATTTGGTTTATTTTTACCATTCTTTGAAATTATCCCCTCTACCTCTGAGACCAAGGCAGGAGTTCTGATTCTACAGGTGAAGTCAGGCAAGTCACAGACCATGGGAGATGTAGAAGGCAGGGCAACAGTGCCTGTGTCAGTGGCCTGTGCCTACTGATCACAGCTCACAGGGGAATGTTGAACCAAGTGCACCCTATTAAGACAGAGGCTGTGCCCCCTGCACTCCCCAACACAGACGTTACCCTCCATCAAAAGCTCAAATGCTTTATCTGTAAGATGCTTTGGGGTCCTTGGCAGAAAAGATCTAGTCCATATAAGCTACCTTGGGAGTCCTGCTAAAATGTAAATTCTGATGCAGGTGTCTGCAGGTGGCCCCTGAAATTCTGCATGTCTAACAAGCAACACCCATGTGATGCTGATCCTAGGACCATACTTTGAGTTACACACTTGGAGTAACTGTGAGTTATGAACACCCGGGACAGTGATTCTTCAAGAGTGGTCTAAGGACCCCCTGCATCGGCATCACTTGGGGACTTGTTACAAACATTCAGTCCCTGCCATTACTTGCAGACTCTCTCAATCAGACCTTCTGGGGATGGGGCCTGACAAGCCTCATGTTTGACAAACCCTTCAGTTGACTGCTATGAATGTTACATTTCAGAATCATTGCATGAAATCAGGGGTTCTCAACTCCCACTCCATGCTAGAATCACCTTGGGAACTTTTTAAAACACAATGCTCAGGCTTCATCACAGATCATGAACTCATCCTCTCCAAGGGCGGGGCAGGGCATCAGTGTTTGTTTTTAATTTTATTTCTAACTGACGAATAATTGTGGGTACTTATAAAGTACATATAGTATGATGTTTTGATATATGTGTGCATTGTGAAATGATTAAATCAAGCTAATTAGGTGAGCCTGGAACATTAATTAGGGTTCAAAATTGCTGCTTTAGATGAATGCTTTCTCTGTTAACTTCTACTGATATATGACATGCATCTTGAAAATTGTAACTATCATAAAGGTATACATGAATATTTGTGGGGAGGAGATGACAGGAATATTTGTGGAAAGGGAGCAAAGCATAGCTGTAGTTTTAGGATCAAGAGGCTTAGGCTCCAATCCTAACTGCCACTTGGAATTTTACTCCCTGAGAAAAATTTTCTTCCTCTGTAAAACAAGAGGCCATAATTCTTGCCCTGTCTACCTCAAACACTGTTATGCGAAAAGCCTTGTACACTGTAAAATGCTATCCAAAACTGAGGATTATCAATTAAAGATTTAAACTATGATCTTAATGTTTAAGGCAAATTTAAGTCAGAAAGCAGTAGTCATAATTTTACAAGTGATTTCTTTTTCTGAGCTTCTCAATGTGACCTGCTAATCCCTCCACAGTCCCACATTTGGGATTCTGAGGACACAGCTCTGCCAGCCCAGCATTGTAGCTCCTGCTTCTTTCTGGGCTGGTTTATCACCCAGCCTGCTGCTGCGACCATGGGATTCTCCCTGCTAGCCACTAGGGGCTGTTTGGTCCAGACTGGCCCATGGGTTTGGGTGAATGGGGAAGGAATCTAATTCTTGCCCTAGGAAGTCCTTGGAGAACTAGACAGGCTAGGAGGCTCCCACAGCAAATTACTCAAGGCCAGTGTGGCTGAATCTTAGGACACCTGAAAGCTCCTTTCTTTCCATTAAACCTCTCAAAGAGTTTGTATAGGTTTCTTTGGTCTGCCCTGGTTATTTTACTTTTTTATTTTTTTGAGACCAAATCTCACTCGGTCGCCCAGGCTGGAGTGCAGTGGCACAGCGTTGACTCACTGCAACCTCTGCCTCCCAGGTTCAAGTGATTCTTCTGCCTTAGCCTCCCGAGTAGCTGGGATTGCAGGCAAACACCACCATGCCTGGCTAATTTTTGTATTTTTAGTAGAGATGGGGCTTCACCATGTTGGCCAGACTGGTCTCAAACTCCTGACCCCAAGTGATCCGCCCGTCTCGGCCACCCAAAGTGCTGGGATTACAGGCGTGGGCCACCGCGCCCAGCCAGCTATATGTATATTTTTAAAATCACATGGGCATATGGACAAGTACTGCTTTGGATGTTGCTGGTACATTTCCAGAAGGGGCTACTTACCAGCCGAGTGTTTACCACAGGAAAGAGCAATGCCAGAAGAGCTCCATTCAACATGTGCATCTGTAGCCTAGTGGGAGAGAAAGATAAAGTTCAGGTCATACTCAGTCCCTGATACAAAGGGAGAAAAAAGACATGTCACGTTAAGCCACGCCATATGGAAGAGAACTATGTATACAAGTTGCTCTCTGTGGAAAATGGCACTAGAGTTTGCACAAAATAAATTAAAAGTGGCATATTTTGTATTAACTGAAATGTTCTGAAGAGCACCATCACTGGCTCAGAATCCCCTGAACACCTCCTGAACATGCTTTGGTTACAACAATTTATTACATAATGAGCTCTGTGCTCCCTAAACATTCAGTCAGTCCCAATCAACAGCTTCAACGGCTACAGCTTGGGCGGCATTAGAAAAGAGGAACTACGGGAGGTAAGTGTTCTGTTATTACAGTAGAAACCTATTTATTATAACATGGCTGCTTATTTACACTGTCATGTATAATCCTTTTCCCCAAACAGAGACCTAGACAGAAAAATATTGCTACAACCCAGGAAGCCAACTGCAGTGTTTTGCAAACTATATTTCCCCACTTTCTTAGAAATGCCCTCAGGAGCAAAAGTGAGCAGCCTTCCAGGCTTTCATTTACATATTGGGCTCTGTGACTTAAAAGCAAAACAAAAAAAGAAAAAATAAGAAGAAAACCACTGGTCTCCAGCACTGGTTAATGATACTGTTTCCCAATCCCAATGCCAGACTTGTTAAAGTACATGCATATTAGAAACCCTTCATAAGTCAAGCACAATTAACTCAGGAACAAACCCTGCTTGTGAGGGCTCTGGGGATGGATTTAAGTAGCTTCCTTCATTATTAAAGGAAAATGGTTCTTTACTACTAAGAGAGATGAAAAGAATGACAGTCTGTTCCTCTTGAAGAAACATTGATTTGATGGGTTATGGACAACCACCACAGAGGCAACATGCCTCTTAGACCTCAACACTAGCTGCAGGTCGATATCAATCTCTTTCTCTCTCTCTCTCTCTCTCTCTCTCTCTCACATACACACACACACACACACACACACACACACGCTTACACAGCATACCTCCTATGCCCTGGCTGGGAAAACAGTCCACATGTTGAAGACTCCCTAGAACTTCAGCTCTTCTCTTGGCACTCACAGATGTGTTTGTAAGACTAAGAGATGTGGCTGGGTGCAGTGGCTCATGCCTATAATCCCAGCACTTTGGGAGGCAGAGGCTGGCGGATCAGCTGAGGTTGGGAGTTCAAGACCACCCTAGCCAATATGGCAAAACCCCATCTCTAATAAAAATATAAAAATTAGCCAGGCATGGTGGCAGGTGCCTGTAATCCTGGCTACTCGGGAGGCTGAGGCACAAGAATTGCTTTAACTCAGGAGGTGGAGGTTGCAGTGAACCAAGATCATGCCACTGCACTACAGCCTGGGTGAGAGAGCAAGACGAGGGGAGGGGAGGGGAGGGAAGAAGGGAAGAAGGGAAGGGAGAAAGACTAAAAGATGTTACAAGAAGACCCCGGAGAATGGCACAGAAACCCCAAGACTGCTTTTCACTTCCCCTAGTCTGTTTCTTCCTATTGTTCTTTGTCACCAAAACTTTGTGAATAGTGATGGTGTGCACTTAATATATTCCAGCCATCCTTAATCAAGGACCAGAAGAAAAATAATAATATTCCAGGCAAGTATCTGATTAACTGCTTTACATGAACTTTCTTGCTTAATTTTTATACCAATCTTCTGAGATAGGTACAATTACTTTTCCCATTTTGTTGATAAGGAAACGCGTTTCAGAGAAGTGAGGTGATCTGGTCAACATTACACGTAAGAGAGTAGAGTCAGAGTTCAAAACCAGGTTTATCTGACTGCAGACCCCAAACTCTTACATCTCTCTTGCTGCCTTGTATAGAAGCCCCTGGTCCCTTCCTCCTGCCAAAGTATGACCTCAGGTGGAGGGTGAGAATGTTCCTCTTTCCTTCCTTTTAGTTTCAAGGGTCTCTCCACCTCCTTCTTCATTCCCTGCCCCTGGCTTAATAAGATTTCAAAGGATAACTAAAGTGGAAAAGGCTGTTTGGCTACCCAAGGCCATCACACTCCCTCAGATTAATAAGGCTTGACCTGGTCCATAAAAGGGAAGAGGCACACCAATGCAATGTCACCAATGCAATGTCACTCCAACCTGGGGCTGGCCAGGTTACCACAACCCTTTTTCGGCAGTGTCATTCAAGGTGGCACCCCGTGTCTGACAAACCTGACAAACGGAGTACTAAAAATTCTGACTCAAGCCTTAGTATCTACAGCAGGAGCTATTAACAGCCATTCCAGGCCTTCAGTGAAGTAGAATCTGGCTTAATCCCGCCCCTGGGCCCTCCTATGTGACAGCCACAACATAAAAACTCACCCTGGGAGAGCAAAAAAAAAAAAATAACATCAACAGTCCAGATGAAAGTTGGATTCTGGGCTGGGTGTGGTGACTCACACCTGTAATCCCAGCACTTTGGGAGGCCGAGGCAGGATCACTTGAGGTAGGGAGTTCAAGACCAGCCTGGCCAACATGGCGAAACCCCGTCTCTACTAAAAATACAAAAATTAGCTGGGCAAGGTGGCAGGCGCCTGTAGTCCCAGCTACTCAGGAGGCTGAGGCAGGAGAATCACTTGAACCTGGGAGGCAGAGGTTGCAGTGAGCCGAGATCGTGCCATTGCACTCCGGCCTGGGTGACAAAGCGAGACTGCATCTCAAACAAACAAAAAAAAAAGCTGGATTCTGGTGCCAGGCTTTGCTATGGACCTCAAACGAAATGTTAGCATTTGCACAGGGTCAATTAGACATTTGGGCACCAAAAGTTAAATCTTGGGGTTGATGGAACTGATAAGGGCCTATGGATGGCCAAAGATGAAGATAAAACTAACATAAAGATCCAAAACAGTTAAGTCCCTAGATAAAGACAAGCATTGCTCTGGGTTCTCAAAATTCAGTTTATGCGAGCTATATATATGCCAGAGGGTGAATTATCTTTAATATATAAAGAAGCCTTACATATTAATAATCACAAACATTTCTAACATGTATTGAACATTTCTATGTGCAAATCATTGAGCTAAGGATTCAAATACATCATCTCATTCAGTCATTAGAGTTTTTGTTATAACCACCATCATCTTCTTCATTTCATATCGGAGAAAACCAAAGCTCCAAGTGATTAAGTGATCTGTCCAAGATCAAACACATAATAAGTGACAGAGGCTGAAGTCAAGCTCAGATGTCACCAAGTTTCAAGCTTGTGTTTTTGCCATTGTACTCTGCTTTAAACCTATGGCATGAATGTTACATATGTTCTGTGTGTGTGTATGTGTGTCTGTGTTTCTATGTGTGTATGTATCAGACTGCAGGCCAGGAAGGAAAAAGTTCTTGAATGCCATTGGGGCAAGGAAGGTCATGCCTAAACCCCTTGTGTGTTCTGTGGCAACTATCCTGATCACACAACTACATTGTCCTTTACAGACAAAGCACAGCTCTACAGGTAAATGACTGACCAACTCAGAAGCAGAGGCTTTTGTTTTAACTTTATACCCACCCGCAGCCTGCCACAAAAATTTGTATTGGGTATGGCAAATGGCTATAGGGCCACTAGAAACTCCTGTGAGGGAGTTCCCTCATCTGTACAATAGGAACCATAATAGTACCCAACTCATAGGATTGTTATAGGGAATTATATTTATAAAATGCATTAAAATGTGCGTGGCATATAGTAAGACTCACATAAAATGTTTGTTAAATAAATGGTGAAGAACTCACCTAAAGCCTCAAGATGGATGGATGGATGGATGGATGGATGGATGGATGGATGGATGGATGGAAGGAAGGAAGGAAAGAAGGAAGGGAAGAAGGAAGGGAGGAAGGGAGGGAGGGAGGGAGGGAGGGAGGGAGGGAAAGGAGGAAAGGAAGAATGGGAATGGAAAAAGGAATAGAAAAAAAAATATATGAGAGACAAACTATTTAAAAAATTCAAAGTGCCAGAAAGAGGTCCAGAGAAAGCAGATGGACAGACTGAAGGCCAGAACCAAAAAGTAGAGCTTGGAGACAGACTTATATTTAGTTAGTCATACTTATAAACCTCCTTGCCAGCTCAGAGTATTGGTCATTGTATTATATATACAGTTGATCTTTGAACAATGTGGAGGTTAGGGGCACTGACTTCCTGAGCAGTCTAAAACCTGCCTATAACTTTTAACTCCTCTAAAACTTAACTACCAATAGCTTACTGTTGACCAGAAGCCTTACTGAGATCAATTAACACAAATTTTGTATGTTATATGTATTATATATTGTATTCTTACAGAGAAGAGAAAACATTAAGAAAGTCATGAGGAAGAGAAAATACATTTAGAGTACTGTACTACATTTATCAATACCGTAAGTCTGCATCATCTGTTCACAAGATGAATCATCCATCTAAAATAGTGGGCAACTGCAGCTGCAGACCTCAATCTATCAAGCAATTCAACTTTTCCTTGTAATGTCTTGACTTTTCTCTGCTTCTTGGGAGCACTTCAGCATGACTAGTGCACTTTGTATGGGTCCTCTGGTGTTATTCAACATTTATGGTACTGCACTAAACATGATGAAAAATGCGAGAACCACAAGGATCACTTTTTATTGGGATCCACCATTTACTGGAGAAAGAACAGCCTATTCAGAGATGATTAGGGGCACAGGGCATTATAAGGGATACTCACAACACCTGAGCTCACCGCAGGACATGGCTATAAAATTATTACAGGAGTACAGTATGTACTACAGTTCATTTTATGCGGTTATGCTTTAATACTGCATCTTTATATCTGTTTGCATCTCTCAATTATGACGGCACAATGTACAGTCTGTAAATGTGTACATAAGCTTTGATAAATTTTAATTTCTTATAATAGATTGTGTATATTTTAGAGTAGTAAACTATAAAATACACTAGTGTCTACATATATTTATTCATTCATGACATACTTAACCTTATCTTAATCTTTTTCAATATTTCTAGAC